GGAGGAGGAGGAGGAGGGAGGGTGGTCACGGTCCTGCCGCGCTTTATCCCAGCACTGCGGTGCCTTTTCCGCCGGTGCCACCCGGGTTCGGCGGCATCTTTGGCGAGCGATCCCCCTCTGCGGGCAAGGACGGGCCGTGCTGGTGGCCCCTGGCAGCCGTGTGGCACCCATGGGTGCAGAGCAGTGGCCACAGCCTGGGGACATACCGGGGGGGGGGCTGGGCCCGCTCCGAGTGGGGGGCTCAGCCCCAGAGGGGTCCAGGTGGAGCAGCAACCACTCGATTTATCCCAATCCCTCATCCCCATTCCTGAGAACCCTCCCCCCCGACCACCCTGCCATGCCCCCAACCCTCCTGGGCTGTGCCCACAAGCCCCGTGGCAACCCCGCCGCTGTCCCCGCAGGCTCGCAGGACGAGGGGAAGGTGATCCACATCACCAGGGTGCAGCACCAGGCGGTGCGGGTGGGGCTGGGGGAGCCCGTGACCCTCCCCTGCCTCTTCCTCCTGCACCCCTCGGCCTCGCTGGGGCCCAACGAGCCCCCGGAGCCTCCCCGCATCAAATGGAGCAAGGTGCGCTCGGCCAGCGGCCAGAGGGAGGACGTGCCCATCCTGGTGGCCAAGGACAACGCGGTGAAGGTGGTGAAAGCCTACGAGGGGCGAGTGTGGCTACCGGGCTACCCCCGGGACCGCTCCAACGCCACGCTGCAGCTGCGGGCGGCCCGTGCCAGCGACGCGGGGCTCTACCGCTGCGAGGTGGTGGCGGGCATCGATGACGAGCAGGATCTGCTGCCGCTGGAGGTGACGGGTGAGCCGGGCACGGCCGGGGCCACGGCCGGGGGGGCGCTGGGGCTGAGGTAAAGTGGGCGAGTTGGGCATTCAGGGTGAGCTGTGCGCCCCACGAGAGCTGCGCACCCCGTGCCAGTCCAGAACCCGAGCCAGTTCTGCACCCCGGGCACCCCGTGCCAGCCTTGCACTCATGCTAATCCTGCACCCCGTGCCAATTCTACATTCCGTGCTAATCCTGCACCCCGTGCCAATCCTGAACCCGTGCCAGCCCCATATCTCGTGCCAATTTTGCACCCCCAGGATCCCCTGCCAATCCTGAGCCCTGTGCCAATCCTGCACCCCATGGACCCAGTGCCAGCCCTGCACCCGTGCCAATCCTGCACCCCACCCAGCGCCGCCCTCCTGCCCGCGGTGCCATCTCCCCTCTCCTGTGCCCC